TAACCCTCATTACTCATGCGCAGTTAGTTGTGTTCAAGGTTTCAAAGAGAAATTAGAGTTAAGCAGACAAGAAGTGAGTAGCAGACACTCGTCGTGTAACAAACACCGAGCAGCACACACGGCGAAGCAGTTTGATCCAAATGAGATCGTTAATTAAAACGACTTCTATATAAAGCCGTCATTGAACTTTTACGAGTATTCAACGGCTGAACAAAGAAATGACTTCCTGTGTAATTTAAAGTTGAGGTTTTGAACATGAATAAGGCACTCTGACATTTTTTAAAAGGAAACGAAATACCAGTGTCGCTCGTTTTCAAGTGCCGGTCTAAATAGTTTCTGGCATTCCATTTCGTGATTGGGTCGCCCAATCCAGTCAAAGACGGAAAACAAAGACATAGGCGGCCATGAGGGGCGGCCGGTTATGACATTTCCAAGATTTCGGTCCAGACATTCTAATCAGTTGAAGGGTTCAGGTAGTGACCTTTGAGGATAATTTGTAATGCATCATGCCTGTGTTCACTTATCCAAAATTGTTATCCTGAAGGTGATTTGTTTCATTCGATCTCCGCATTCGTACAAATAATGCATAGTTTGGTCTATTCCTGATGTCGGTGTAAACTTCAATACAGAGATCTCAAGTTGCTACAATTCTCTTCATATTTCCGGCGATGAATGATGTCATTGTGAGTTACTAAACGCTTGATAAGTTGACCGTTTGGTTATTAATTTCATCTTGGGGCATATGTCAACTGTTGATACGGTTACGATGATGTTTCTACCTGAGATATAAGCAACTTTCAAAGAGAAATCACTTCTTTCACTTTGACCAAAAGCTACTATTTATTTTATTCGCAGTTCTTGTATATGGATACCATGATGTGGATTATTTGAATGAATATTTTCGCAACTTAATTGTGAAATCAAGTAATGTAAAGCCACAAGTTAAGACAAAATCCAATTCAATTATTCCTGTAGGTTATTGCGCAGATAGAATTCATGAATAGAAGCTATGGTATTTGTAACTTTGTCAACGTTTGCGCGAATTTACTTTAGAGACAACAGTGTTGGCAACACTGAACTTTTGGTATCGTAATTCTTAAAGATGGTTCACAACCCGTGTCTGCTATAGTGATGAGCTCGACTAAGGTGCCGCATTGGGTATATAGTTCGAAAACTAACATGCGAAGTCGCCGGTCGTAGTGTAGTAAGCAGCCGAACATAAGTTGTATACATTCTTTTTAGCTCTTATTAGCTTTTACTCATCTTTACGCACTTCTCTTAAATCTTTATTCTCTAGTACTATAAACAATTTTTAATGGCTCTGACCTAGTCATGACGAGTAGTTTGAACTGGTCATGATCGTCGCGTTCGGTCCTCTACCGCGCTTTCACATCAAATTACCAACTGATTATTTGTGTCAAGCAGAAGTTGGCCTTCTCTCGTCATTATGCAGTCAATCGTGCAGTGGTTTTGTTGCAGTCTGCCAATAATCGGCCAATTCTTACTACAAAATATCCAATGATGTCTTATGGGTAACGTTCAATGCAGCATTAACATGTATCCCCGCATGCTTGAAAGTTGAATCTGCGTATCTCATAGCTAAATGTTGAATATCCGCATTAAAATCTATTTAATCCAAAAATCTCGCATTGGATCATTCATGCTTTGGCCTCACTTTGATAAATCCTCTGATAAAATCCTCAAGGCTTCAGGTGTTACGGGACAAATTTGGTGACGAAAGTATAATTGCTAGTTCCTAGAGCGGCTTTCTCCATAGCCGGCAAAGTAGCTTAGTTCGCACGACGTGGTTCTCCTCAAGGGGAGAACCGCGCTCCGTGCCGGAGTCGGTCACTATGTACTTACTATTCAGCGCGGCTAAAGTTTTTGTCCAACACAAGTGCCTTTTTCGTATTGAATTACTTTTTTTTATTACGGTCATGCTTGTAGAGCATTAAAATGGAAATGAACATGGAGATGGAATTATATTCATAACCCCACTAGCCACCTAATGGTAATTAGCAGTTTAGTAGTTCTTCTACTGTGTTCTCACTGTGTTGTTTTGTCGCCTCTCCATTAGTTGCTTAACTTTCTGTTTTATGCCGGTAACTCTGGTAACCAGGCCATCGGGTACGACAAGCATTGACGCCAGTTGCATTATCCGTCATCGAATGGTTAAATCCTTCTCTCTTCAGGCACTCTCTGTTCGACATTCACTTTCCAGATCTTCGCAGTGGTTTCGAGCTTTGACCAAATGGCGCTCGTGGTTCCAACTTTATTGACACTGCAGCAGCTAAAGTCCATCGAGAAGTTAGACTTGAAAGAAGTGAATATACGGGAATTGATGTCAGTTCTTGCATTCCTGCACGACGAATTACGCGAGAGGGAGATGATGAAAATTAAATGTGTGACTTTTTTGAACCAGTTCAGAGAGTGGAAGTGTAAGAACGTCGAGCAGTTGAAGAAGAAAGTGCAGAGCAACGAATCTTGGAACTCTCAAGGCAAGACCAGCGCCCTACTGCAGTACATGGAGACCTATAACGTGTACGTCAAGAGTTCGAGAGCGGACGACGTCGAAGAGTTCGACGAAGAATTTTTCGATTGTCTTTCTCGGTCTGCTGAAAGACTCGATAGAAAGCTAAGGAATCTGGACGCACAGTTCGCCGTCGTGTGCAGAGACGCGCTCATTCTACAGAAAATCGTCGAAATGCTGGTCAAGAGGGTGTCACGGGAGGAATTCCTGCAGGACATGAGCAGCAGAGGCATAACCTTCCCTGAAGAAATGCTCGCTGGAGTGTGCGTGAAAAAATGAAGGCTCGCTGGATATTTAAAGGAATGTTCGGTTTGAATGTTGAGGGGAAAAGCCGGTTTGAGTGTGGGAAGAAACGCTTGGTTTGAGTGTGGGAAGAAATGCCCGGTCTGAGTGTGGGAAGAAATGCCCGGTCTGAGTGTGGGAAGAAATGCCCGGTCTGAGTGTGGGAAGAAATGCCCGGTCTGAGTGTGGTTAGAAATGCTCGGTTTGATGAAGTGATCAATCCAACATTTAATATTCGTAATGTTTTACGCTGTTATTTAACACCGCTGCCCCCTCCCCATTCTTTTTAAATGTTGATTCTCGACGTTAACTTCTTAAATAATGACAATGACCGTTATAATTCACAGTATTTTATCTTCTGTCCCATTGAAGCATAAGAATCTGTGCTAGGCTTAAACATGATTTAAGCTAGCTGATAGTTGGCATGTGGAATGCACTGCGGGTTCCACGCAATTGGAAGTGCCGTTGTCACAGCTGCCAAGTCTCGTCGTCAGCGCAAACACAGGACGTTAATGGAAGCTGTTATATCCCAACAAACGATGTTTTTATCGTACGAGCGTTCGATTGTTTGAATTGTCAGTGTACGTGCTTGTTTTGTTATTAATTATAAGAGTAAACTCAACTCTGTGTTTCAATATTTCATAGAAGATCTCAGTGCAGTTATTTAATAGCGATGTGACTTAGAACGATATTAATGGTGCTTAATTTATACGCATTGAGAAATTATCAATAAATTTAAGTAAATACGCACAACGTGACGTGATAATTTTGTTAAGCTAAAATGTTGTCCATCTTTTTCGTATCGACCGTAGCGGCTTGCATTGAAAATTAAAATTCGTCACGTAAATAAACATGAGTGGTTTTTGCGAGGACGATTTTCTACTAGCTTTTCGTTGCTACTGCATGAATGGTTTTAGGGAAACTGTTTTGGATGCTATATATTTATGACTTGAAAAAGATTTTAATGAAAGAGTGATTAAAATGCGCTAAAGGTGTAGGAGCAAGCTAAATGTATATAGTAGTAAAAATCTTTAACTATATTTATTGCAGTATGTATTAACTTGTGCGCGTTTACAGCCTAATAGACACCTATAGTACAGTACATCAGAACGCCACACAACTGGACTACTTTTCTGTAAATATTCTAAGTGGGGAAGTTTGTAAAACTGCATTCCGCTCACCGTTTCTCCCTTTATTTGAGTTAATTATGCGATACCAACCATTGCACTAAAATAATTTAAATCATAATCAGGATTTATTTATTCATATTCATGGAGCGTACACCAAGAATGGCGCGTAATTATAGATGTTACCATGCAGAACCAGGCCCGTTTTCAACTTCCTTCTTTATTGTGTACCGAATGTAACGCTAGGAACGAATAAAATTTACGACGGGTAATGTATCCCTAGAAAAGAGAGCAAGGAAAGACTCGGTGGAATAGAAGCGTTCTATTCTATTTTGTGTCCGGGCTTAGCACTACTTTAAAATTAAAGCTCCTATTGCATAAATATAATTACTGAGCGCGAATAGAAGTTCCATGTTGCTGCACGTTTTGCAGCAATTACGGTTCCTCGTATGAAAATCCTTTGGAAATTTTTTGAGAACATTATTGCTGAAGCACTGCTTTACACCATCGATTTCAGTGAGATATTATAAGACCGGCAGTAAGTTCCTTGTTAACCGGCTTGCTACCGTGGCTTAGTAAAAAAATTGCTGGGTCTATAGACAACCAGCTAATGAAGACCTTCTCAGTCTCATCGACTTGCACTCCACATAGAACAATTGTATAAGATGAAGGAATTTCTAATACCCTCTTGCACTTATCGATCCAGCAAAACTTCGCAAGAAACGTTCCACCTTTCTTTTGGGGGCTACAGGCGTTGCGCGCCACACACCAACAGGGCCAGAGCGCGATTGTCCTGCTCAACCGCGCTTCGTTCAAACTGAAAATCTGCAGCAACGTTCAAGCCGAACGATAGACCGTATTTTTTAATGCTTCAAGGACATATGCCAATATCAAGACGAAAATCTAATTGATTGTGGAGTACGTAATTAGGAGCGGCTTCATCGCGCCTAAATAATGGTAATAATATTTACAGCGCCTATTGAGGCGATATTAAACACGATTATGATGAATATTCCAGGAAACGCTTCGGTAACTTCTAATGAAGGGAAGAAAATACAAACTCAAGGTTCTAGACATTTTTCAGGCACGAGTTACATAAGTGTGTTGTTTTCAAGCAAAATTTTACGTGTACATAAAACATCATTGGTGCAATGAAAGAATCGCGTAATTAGTTTAAAAGATATTACAAGTGGTTAAAAAAAGTGTGCTGTCTTTCGTTCCTTCCAAATCGCGTGCGTTTGATTCATTTATTTGTGATGCCACAAAGATTATAACTGATGACACGCATCGGTGAGCTCGCGGGAGTTTGAAAATATTCTAAATAGTTACTTCGATTAAACGAATTTCATACAAACCAGTGACTAACAGCGGAGAACAATTTATTTGTTGGCATTCAAGAAAACTGATGAACAATCGATACCATTTTTTCTACTGACTTCGATAGTTATAATCAATGTTTATTTACGTTATATCATCTAAAAATAACCAACTATCTCGTTGAAACGTGGAGAAATTTCATCAATGTTCTCACTTATCGTCTTCGTCATTGTCTTCCTGGTCGTCTTCCGTCGAGTGCAGCTCGGTTTCCGCAAGAATCAATTTGTTGTACTTATTCGGGTCAATGTAGTCTTTGATTTTAAGGAGGTATGTGACGTAGGCACTTCCACTCGACGCCGACCCTTGGGACAGAACCAGTAGTTCTTGTGGTACCAAGGAGAAGGTGAAGTGGCACACCAACTTCTGTTGCTTCTTGTTCTCACCCGCATACCCGGGTCCGAATGTCGCCCCCAGACACGTTGGTTGCACGAGGCACTGAGACAAGCATTGACCTGGAATTAATAAATATTGTATGCTATAGCCAGTACAACTTTCAAATGCTAACCGGGACCAATAACATGCTAATGGCCTATATAGGAAACAAATAGCACGGTAAATATCGGCGGTCAGTGTTTAAAATTCGTACTGGCGGCCATTTCTGACCTCGTCTACTAGCACCTTCTAAGCTTTGTCGACACTGAAGTACACTGGAAAGTTTATATGTTTGAGTTCAGTTAATTCATCGAGTAGGTGACGAGAGCGACAGCCATGTGCAGAAGGTGGTAGAGGATGCGTGATAAACAGTAGACTAGTGTTTATGAACTAATTAATACTAGCTTTATCCCGAGCAAAAAACACAAATTGATTTAGCCTCGGCAACGATTCCATCAAAGCAGACCAAACCAATATGGGACCATAACGCTAAAACTTCTATTTCGATCGGAAAAACGGCTACCAAGTAACTATCTGTCGCCAGGAAATATTTGAAGTGAACTGCTATTTCTTAAGCTATTTGCAATCGAACAAATTTCGTATTCATTGCACTGCCTGAGGCTTCTTCTACCGCCCATCTTGCCCGTGCATAGGAATTGCAGTTGTCATTAACTTTTTTTTAATTGCCCTTGATAATCTGTTTCTTTTATCGGCTGGTAATACTTTAAGAACAAAGAGGGAAAAAATATTTGTTCAAAAAATGAAAGAAAGAGGTTTTAATGATTATAAATTACAAAAATATTTAACTTATAGACTTTCTCACAAGATGTCGCTGCGTCCATGGTTGATGACACAGCGTTGGCTGGGATCCTGTAGTTGGGTAGCGTGTCGAACTGACGCGCGGCCAAAGCCCGGCCTAACCCGAGCACCAGCAGCAGATGTTGCAGCATCATTGCAAGGCCTTGTTGCTGGGCACTCTTGTCAATTGAATCCTTTTATGCACAAAAGCTGTAGAATTTTATAATCGAAACATATATAGCTGAAATGAGGGACGAAAAAAAAGATGGAGAATGTATTATAAATGTCCGGCAATTCTAATGTGATACAAAGCATGACTTAAAAATGATGTATTTTAGCTTAAACTGATATTTTTCGCGTAGTTATAGAATTTTTTTAGCCTAAAGTGGTGCTCATGCGTGGAGCTCCGGCCTCCGTAAGCTCTCCCTCATTGTAAACTCTCATAATACTTTCAGGCAATGTTTGATTGCACAAGTAGAACTCTCACCTCACTCGTCAATAAATTAAATAACATAAATAAAGTAAATCATGAATGCTACCTTTGTTTTATATTACACCTGAATTCAAGCTTGAAACGAAAAAGAAAAAAGAAATTTTTTGATAATAATATAATACTAACTGATGAAGACTCACAAAATCTTGTTCGTACATCCATTTGATGTGATTAATAAATTTTAAAGGTGTTCATTCCAAGATTTTTTAGACATTTTTTTTAAATGAAAGACCGCGTAGCTATCAATACAAGCGAAGATAACAGGCAATAATAATGCTGCTCCTACACAATAGAAATAAACTTCTGAGTTATCAAGGGCACGATTTGCGTAATTGACGAGTGTTATCTAGAGCGGTCCTTTCCTTTTCTCGCTTATACAACACGTGTTTTAAAAACATCTGTGTATTTAAGAACATTCTCTCGCTAGTGTGGCACGGTTCACCAGGCAACTCTCAACAGCAGCACCTGTTTCCCTCGTAGACCTACTGGCAATTTGCTGTAGTGAATTTTAGTGTCATAATCCTAGTTGAAACAACGTGTATACGCAGAAAATTTTTTTAAATAAATAATAGAACAAAATATGAGTTAGAACCGCCTTCTCATCGCCTTTATATGCTGATGTGTATTGGGCTTCGAAAACCTACAAGGTTCAATACATTGGTTTCATATTTTGTCAACTAAAACATAATTGAATGGTGCATGTTTATTATGAACTATCAAGTCAATGATCGCATAACCATATCAAAATGTCACCGTCAAATTTACGTCAATTTTTTTTATTTAATTTTCAGGTTCGTTGAACAATTTCTAAAAATTGCACGATCTGAAAATATTTTTATTGCGATTTATGGCCGGCGTCCTCCGTTGCACACACACACAACACATAGCACACCCACCATACAGCACACCTACCACACAGCACACCCACCACACAGCACACCTACCACACAGCACACCTACCACACAGCACACCTACCACACAGCACACCTACCACACAGCACACCTACCACACAGCACATCCATCACACAGCACGCCAGATTTTATACAGAGCGAGCGACCACGCACGGTCAGTACACAGGGCGCTGTATTTCTGACACACGTGCCAGCTTCCACTTATATTTTTCACGGCATGAATTCCATGCTTCCTTGGCACACGGCGGTTTTATTCCACCGAGTATATTATTAAGCGATACGGTTCTCCTTAAGCGAGACGGCTCTCATGTGGCTCTCGACACGGCTCTCATTAAGCGACAGGGCTCTCATTTGAAGAGAGAAATAGATTAGTTTCAGGTATATAATTACACCGCAGAGAAAAAAGAGTGATTAACGCCAACGTGATGGTTAATATTTATTCGGCTCATGATATTTGGTACGTTATACTCATTTGGGGCAATACTGCATGCTCTGATATACTATGATTATCATTATTATATATCCGCTGTCTTCATGGTATCTGTCCCTCGAATTTCTGAGATCCAAATGAGAGCACCGAATCGCTCCGATTTTATTCATTCTAGAACCATAATTATTTTTATCATTGAAATTATATTCGGACCGCGAAAGTAAGAATTTATAAAGCCAGAAGATCAACGGACACACCGTGAATAGTTAATTACAGGTCTTTCGGCGGGTAGCTTGCAGCCTTGCCTAAGCTTAATTTCCTTGACTCGCGTGAAATCTATCATGATAATTGAATAATTGAAATAATTAGTGAAGTTCCTCCTCATACCCTCCTCGAGATCATGCCCAAGCCAACTATTCAGGCTTGTACATTATATTTTTCTTAATTTTGTTCGTAAATAAAACTGAAGGCCAAATTGTTCTAGTGAGATTTAATTTTATTACTCTCCGTCATAGTCGAATTGCTCGCAAAAAGTTAAAATTTTACTTTAATATTCTCAGAAGGAACTCTAATCGATTGCATTACGTGTTAACCTGGTATACGATCACTGCTCTTTGGCTGCATGTAAATTATCCAGGCTCCCCATCGTGGTCATAGGTATTTGATGCCTAAAATAGTAAAGAGAGTGATGGCTTTTCACTTCACACAGAACTTTGGTCTGATAGTTATTTGGCTAGCAGGAGGTACAGTCGTATATCGTGTATAATCAAGTCGAGCATCATGTGGTTAGCTGGGTCAATTGTAACTATATTAAAACTTTTCGTTCGTGTATGTGAAATATCCAACAATGCATAACTCGAATTAAAATTATTCAATATCAACGTGAAAATGTTCAATGTTCGGCAATTTCTTGAAGTCATAATACCAGAGAGTAATTTTCGAGCTCAATTCTACTTAGAGCAAAATGATAAAGTTATTTTCGTAAGGGAATAAGCGTCGCCTGGTGATTACAAAGTATAATGTCTACAATCCATACGACCTTGTAGTCGCACTGCGCCCAAAATCAAAATTACCGATTAAAATGGGCCGAGTGTCAAATGCAAACTCGTTACAACTTACGCTCGCGCAACAGGAGGCGTAATGACTAGGAGATGAAATCGCAAGCCCGGTAGCTGAATTCAGATGCCAGAAAGAAGATACAGAAGAATGTAATTGACATCGGCGTAGCGAAAAAGCAACGAAATCCTCACAAACGTCAACGATTGAACAAACAATCTCACACGAAACGGCTTGAGGCTGAAGACAACAGTTAGAATTAATTTAAACTTTGCCAACCTTCAACTTCAAGTTGTAACTTGATACCGGGTATCTCCAGATTCTCTCTATACGATTGGGAAAAAAGGAAGTGGATTCAGTCATTTTCAGTATTCGGTTGCGCACAGTACGAGTTACGTCCTCGAGATCCAGACATCAATTATAAAGATCCCTCTACCTGTTCGCAATATATTCCCTATTAGTGAGTGTAGAACAGTTCTAATTTTCATTAACACGTTGACTACGTATTGGTACATATGCGTACCACGAAATGTATTCCTCCAGGAGGTAGTGGTACATAATTCAGGTTGCCTAAAAGCGGCCAAATCCGAGAACAAAAAAAGCAAAAAAAGCCGATAATTCAATGTATACTAGTTTATTTGTAGGTTCCGCTATAACAATTCCATTCATTTTTTTGCAGTATTTAAAATTTAATTAGGAAGTACCCCTATCATAAATTTTAGCCGGCCAACGCAATTAAGAAAAACTAAATCACGGAATTTGTCCGGAAAAAATGACCGACTGGCAATCCTGTTTAAAAAAGTACAAAAAATAAAATAATAGTACAAGATGAAGCAATCGTAGTCAACGTGTTAAGGAATATTTTTAATCAATAAAAAGTTACGTATGGTATAAGAACTATCGCGTCGTTAAAATTTTATTCATTTTGAAACCTGCACACGAAAACACGTAGTCGCGTCTTTAAAGAGACTCTTAAATAGTAATTTTGATATGCAGGAGATAACAACGTATGGATGAATATGTGCAGACAGAAAGATAACAACGTATGGATGAATGTGTGCAGACAGGAAGATAGCAACGTATGGATGAGTGTGTGCAGACAGGAAGATAGCAACGTATGGATGAGTGTGTGCAGACAGGAAGAAAGCAACGTATGGCCGTATGGATGAGTGTGTACAGACAGTAGGAGAGCAATGCATTCATGAATATGTTAGGTAGTTAGTCAGAAGCTGTTCTATAACACAAATTTCATTGAAGACCAGAGAGTTTATCTTATTGACGATTTTCTTGTTGCTTTTCTCTATTTAACGGATCAGGCTTTTTGTTGGGTTTGAAAGATCAAATATAAGGTTTCCGTGGGACTCAAGCAGGATATCTAAACCACTAATTTCTAGCAAAACCTTCATATATTCTCCTTTATACGAATAGAAAGAGAAAACTATAGAGACTGGGTTGAAATTAGAGCTGGCTTACTGATACTGANGAGATTATCACTAGGCATCTGCATCGACTTCAAGCATTTGTTACTCGAGTTGATTATCTTTCCACAGGTATTTTCTTACGAAACCATGCCTAAGAGTTTTGATGAATGGAAGGCTCTGGGCCAGAGTATGAACCTTGAGGGTGAAAAATTACCCAAGTTTATTAATGAGCGCAAAGCTGGCTATCACGATGATCGTGATAGCTGTCTCTTATACACATCTAGATGTGTATAAGAGACAGGTCCTAAACTCATCATAAGGTCAAAGGTCATAAGGTAAGGTTGCTAAAATCTGACACACTATTAAGGGTTGGCTCACTAAAAGCTTGCTGATGGATAGCTTGCTAAAGCCGGCTTACTAGGGGCTATTCATAATGAACTAGCAGGCGATGCCCTTTTACCCAATCGTGTGTAGCGATAATATATCATAGATATCACATAATATGGTATTCAATTTCATTAAATATTCGTAAAATATCAAATATTATGATAAATATCATTGACATTTGTAGTTGAAAAATGCTGATTTGGTAATACTTTAAAAACCTCTTAACAAAGAGGTTTTTAATAATCCCCTTTTCTGACACATAGAATCAATGAAATTGGTTTTAACTTATTTAATATAATCTTTGTTCATCAAAATATATATTTGATCAAATCATAATGAAGCTGTTCTGTGATCCCCCACCATACAACGCCACCTGCTCTCACCCACCCAACACTCAAGCCTTCCCTCACTCACCCGTCACCCAGATCTTCCTTCACTCACCCGTCATACAA